GGTAACTGTAACGGAATACAGTTACTCATATTTTGTATTTTAAATACGTAACGGCGGTACATGTATTCCGTTACTCCCCAACACTGTGTGTCAGTGAGCAACTTGGGGTTAGTATCTTGCCCAAGGATATTTGCCATGTAGACTAGAGCAGCCAGTAATCAAACCAAAAAGCAGATGGTCACCTAGGAAGACGGAATCCAGTTTGGCTAAACGAAGTATCCAGTGGCATTGAGGAGCTAAACAAACTGGATTAGTATAAGCAGAATCGTTTAGGAGACTTTCAAGGAATGGCAGAAACATTGAAATGTTCAGCAAGAGTTGAGCATGATTCAGAAGAGAGACTGTCAGCACAGGTAAGATAGAGCAGTACAAGGGAAGGTTGAGTAAACCATTCTCTTTTACTAAGAATGAAAAATGTAATGAGACTGAAAAATGTTTGCATTGAAATATGTAGGAGAATTTCATATTGATAGTAATTCTCCTGTCCCCAAAAGTCAAACAGCAGCTCAACCAGGAAACATTCTGCTGTTGAATCAGTGCACTGACACAACAGAAGTTCATGACATTTAAATCTGTACAGTTCATCTTTGTAGCTGTTCTCATAATATGAAATGAGATCTGTGTGTTCTGGTGGGACGAATGACTGATTGCCATTATAATGGGTAGGTGACTATGTAAATACATGAATATATTAGTCTACCCTAGCTGATTATATTCAGAACTTTCTCACTGTGTTTTGGACAATTATGTTAAATGTGTCATGACAAGGTTTACTAGTAACTAGTGATTTTTTTTAAAATGTTTACCATATATCAAATTATCTCATTTACATATTGTTATGGGAACACATTTCAGGATGGTGCTGAACTGAAGCAGCGTATTATTTATGTGTTTTTATTCTGTCTTGGAATTCAGCAGTGTGGTTTCAGAAGAATGGTTTTGTGACACATCGTATTTGTTTTTTTCTGAATTTACTTTAAAGTTTGCAGGTAACTATGATCTGATGTTTCACTGATAAATACTCAATAATATAATTTTTTTTCCTTTTCTTTTTTCTGGATGGATCGCCTTCTGTTTCAACTGTATTGGTAAGTAAACACACACACACACACACACACACACACACACACACACACAGATATAATAAAAATGCAGTAAAGCTTTCACCCATGGCAGCTGTGCAGACAGACCTCGCGTTACACGCATGAGGATTATTTATTTTTTTAAAACTATTCTAACCTATTATCTCGTTTTAATTTATAGATTATTTTACAAATTCAGATTTTATTGAATTAAGATTTGGACAGATATAGAGTAGTACATGCACATTTGAATTCTTGCAAACATCTTGCAGAGCCAAGCTTTGTATAAATAAAATGTTTATTTTAAAAATCAATAGTAATAAATAGACCAGCATTTGCATTGTTTTCTCATCAAGTTCTATACAACCATACATTTTGCGATGAGACGGGAAAGAATGCAGGTTTCCAGACCGGTAAGCTAAGGCTGTCTTTTACAGTCTATGCACAGAACACATGGCGTTGTTAAATCATTCATTACATGGGTTATTAATTATAAATTTTATATAACTCCTCCTGTTTAAATGCAACATACAAAAGCATAATTAAATAATTAATTAAATGTGTTGTTGTGTTAATTACAATTACAGTAGAAATAAATAAATAACATTTTATTAAAAACATAATTTTTAAGTTTAGCATTAACTTATTAAACGATCAACTTATTTTAAGGCATATTTGATTATTACGCTATTTGAATTGTTTCATGCTTCCTGTGCTTCAGTTCATCATGAGATTATTTGAACTGTCACTGCAGCACAGACCCTACCATCTGACTGTCTGACTGGCAATAATGTGTATTGACTGCCTGCTCTCCTCTACCCCAGCTGCCATGATAATGCAACTCACCAATCCCTCCACACAATCAGGTGGAACTGTGCCGTCGGCCCCTCTTGCTGTTCGCTTCCCAGTCCTTTAGGGGGTTGGACCTCTGTGGGTGTTGGGGGTGGGGGCTGGCCTGGTGTGCCTCCTGGTGTCTCCATGAGGGTCAGCTTGCTGTGGTTGGGTAGGTGCTGTGGCAGCTATGCAGGGGCTCCATATTTGCATCTGCTGTGTCGTCTCTTGGTTCTAGGTGGGGCGGATGTGGTGCTGGGTGTT